GGCGGCCTCCGGGGTGAGAAAACAATGCCGACAGGCGTTTTTACAAGCGATGCTGGACGAATTGGAGGCGTTATACTTTTGGTCTCGGGTGCGCCTAGCCCCTAAAAGCAACTCAATCGATCCATCTCTGGTCTTGTTGTCTCTTGTCTCACAGCGAGGCGTACAAACTCCCATCGTGACGACCAACACGGCCAATTAAAACTGGTTTCCTCAAGCAAAGCCTCACGAAGGGGGGATGATGGTGTGGCGGAGGTTCATGACTCGAGAACCGGGCTTCCAGAACAAGGACGTAAGTGAGGCTTACACACGCGCTCACCGTTTTTTCCCCTTGCCGCTAAACGGGTTCTCGGTCGCATCCAGAATATCGTCTCTCATTCCGCAGCTCTCACCCAGCCGATGCAAAGCAAGGTTGGCAAGCTGATTTCATGTCAACACACCAGACGCAGGGGGGGCCTCCATCATGGGCGATCTGCGCCAAGCTCCCTTTGGTCGCTCAGCCCACCATGCCATGGCAATTTCAAGCAGTTTAATCCAGTTCCCAGGCCCAACAATCGCAGTATCAATCAGTGTTGCAATGTCAACACCCAGTGTGCCTTGGCGCAGCAAGAAATGGGTGGACTGTCGCCAGGCAGGGCATCAAAGCCAACACACATTGGCATCCAAGTCTCACAAGAGTGCTGATTGTCGAAATTAAGCTTAGATATGGAGGGAAACTGTATCAAACCTCATCGTCGAAGCGACGGGACGGCATGTTGTTAACTGGATGATTATTTCCCCGTACGAAACACTACGGCGATGTAATCTGATTCGGCGCCGATGTGATGGCTGGATGGGCCCCGCACTGTAAGCGTGGCATGCCTGCCTCTGAAACTCAAACATGGATGATGGATCCATAATGTTATATCGACCCCTTCCTAGGTGTTGTCAATGTCAACAGGGAAGCAAGTGGAAAAAAGAAAAGAAAGGCGCAGCAGTAGTGGTGGGGGTGTGAGTTGTGAAAGATATGCATCAAGGTAAGCACAGTGCGGTGGTGACTGGAAGCAGCGTCGAGGAAAAAGAAAATATATGATTAGGAAAAGACATGGCTTGCTCTGTCATCATGAGTGCAAACCTCTTATGCTGGGCACTTGGGGAATTCGTGCCCGGTAAATGGCCCAGTGGACGGCTAAAGTAGCAGCGACTCAGTGGCTATAAGTACCTACTGGAAAGTGTACAAATTGTGCGACAAATTCGGGCAGTACAGTTCCTGCATAGCCGCATCCAGCGAGAATCCAGCGGTGAGCACATCCTTCTGGTGGCCTCCAGGCGGCGCCCGGGCATTTCCCCGCTGAGCTGGCTGCAGGCACTTGCAGGTACGTACAGGGTTGCATAAAATCAGTACAACCCCAAAAACTCCCAGCCTTGGGCACACAAAACCCAGTCAACTCTCAAGTCAATACCCGGAGAGGGCGGACAAGGGGATCCTGGCGCAGCAGCACGGTGCCCCGGTAATACGAAGCCGGGAAAACCGGGACGGAATGATCGAGATAGCTTTCGTTAGAGTTGGTCGCTTGCAGCTAGTTATTCCCGTGCTACAACACCACGAGTCACATCAAACAAGAGCACACATGGGTATTTGACGATTGCGGAAAATACACTATTTAATCCAAGACATGCACCGGCTATCTTCTACCTCAACCGGGTATGTGGTGAGTGAAGTGAGACACCCATGCCTCTCCAGCCATCGCACTCAGACGCATCGAGAAAAATCCATCCCAACGACGACGACCCAAGCCTTTCTGACCTGTCTCCCCTTCCCTCGCCTCGTTTGGGCCTATCACGGTGAAGCGTCTCGCAGGCCGGCAGACGCCATGTCCGTCTGACCACCCCGAGTCCATTCAATGATCTGTCACTTTTGCTTCATGCCATGAATTTCTTGAAGCTCGGGTGAGGTATCTCTCTCTATCTACCCTGGCCCTCCCATTCCCCTCCGCCCTCGACTCTTGCTTCTTGTCCAAGACATCTACTAACCTTAATTGCATAGTCTTCCCACGGCAAAACGCACGACCGATTCCCAAGCCCGCACGCTACTGCAAACTAAGGGACGAGCCGACGCCGTCCCTCCAGCTGATTCCCATCTCGCCTCCCTTGCATGGCGGTGTCTGAAATATCACGAAGGATGAGGAGTGTGAGACATCGTCGGCTTGCCATGCCTCCAGGATGACGGCGAGGGGATGGCTACCGACCGGCAAGTTGAGAACTCTTGCAGCTTCTCTGGACTACTTAAGGGGAACCGAGAATCTGAGCATGTCTTGATGTTCCTGTTCTCCACCAAGACTCTTCAAACACAGGCTGAGCGCTCCCTCCCGTCCAGAACACGGCCCAACTCTCCACGTGGTGCGGTACGACTCTTCGAGCAAGAAACGCTTCTTCACCACATCGAAAATGAGTTCCCAGGATAGCAGAGACCAGCAGAGCCTTTGGCTGTCAGTGTCAAGGTATGATCCAGAAACAGCACCCATTCATCCCGAGACCATCCCATTTCCAGCACATATCCGTCTCTACTATGTTGGCATCTGACTAACCGTACCGTTTATAGCAGCGAAGAACGCGACGGCAACACCCGGGCCGACCAAGCCCCCTTTCCTTCGATCGAGGTCCCCTACACATTGGCTCGCTTCCTGGACACTCCCGCCTGCGATGCTCCGTTCTCCACCTATGCCCTTCGCGATGGGAATGTTTCCCAAGCCATAATAAACCTGTTGTCTCTTTGCATCCGTCTCCGACGAAGAATGGAAGATGTCAGGGCTGACTTGACCGGGCTAGGAGCCCAGTTTTGGTGCCCTTGAGCTCATGCAAAGCGTCTTGCATCATTCAGTCAGCTATTTTTATGCCCCCTTCAGCCAGGGAGAGGTATAAAGCTTTGAGTGGCGCCCTATACAAATGCCCGCGCGAGTACTCGGCACAGTTTAAGGGACCATCAACTCTCCTTGTTACTTGTGTTCACTCGCCAGCACGCTCCATCGCCCTTTTCACTCCAGCCAGGGATCTTCGGGGACTTCCATGGAAAGAGATGATTAGACTAGCAGCACTCCTGTCATTCGGTCGTCCACAACAGCAACCTATAAACCTATGCCTTCCCGACGCCCTATGCATGCTCCTTCGCCCTCAGCACGCAGGCCAAAGACAAAAGTTTGGAGCTGTCGGTATTGACTCCCATCAGTTCCAGAGCAGTCTGTCCTTTAGACCACTTTGACTAGGAAGGTTGCCCGGGTCAGCTAGTTGCAGGAGACTGCCATTTCTTTGCTTGCTTGGCTCTTTCATGCTTGGATTTATTCTTGTTGTTTGTTTAAGCCCGATTTGTACACCAGATTATTGTCTTTCATTCACATTCTTGACAGTCGTGGTGGAATTTTGTCACTCCAACAAGCGCCAGGCTCTCCTTGTGCGCCGGCCACAGCCATATTTAACATTTACATTTGATCTAGGTATATCATGGTTCACTTATAACACATCTCTGCCCCTGCTTCTTGCAATCACGGTGTTCCCTTTCGGGGAAGTTTGTCCTTGGAAGCAAATAGCTACCCGTCTCCCCCGAGTTTGATTTTGGTACCGCTGGACAGTGACGGGCTGGGCTTTGTCGCGTCAATATTGCTTCCCTTCTCGCCCAGTAGCTTCAATAAACCAAGAGTTCTCTTTCCCTCTCCTTTCACTTTGCCTCGAACAAACATTATTAGACCGGACGCGTCCACAGGAGAACTATTAACCCAACCGCGAGACTTGAACTTCTACTGCCGCAGAAGCTTGGATATCAACAAGACTCAAAGACAGATGGAACCATGTCGCCCTCCGTTCCGTTGCCCTTTAGGCATGGCCTCTGGTTCCGTTTTAAGAGCAAATCCACTTGACAGCAAATCTAGGTCATCTCTCCGTGGCCCGTCTGTAAGTGGGTTCAATTGCCTTGTTCTTATCATCCCTAACTGACTCCATCGGCGGTTTCGCTTCGCTGCGATTTAGTTCTTCGATACCACTCTCTAGACGATCCTTCTATCTCTTATTCACGTTACATCGCTTCCAAGTCTAGATCTTCCATCTTGGCCCGTTGTTTTCGCTTCAAAAGCAGCGATTAGCGTTGAGCTAGCACCCACCCCCAATCTGGCACCACCGTAACCCCCAACCATCTCCAGATCGTCAACAAGCTTCCCCAGATCGACATGGCGCATTGGTATGTTCCAAGTTTCCAACTATAATATCGGATTGGTGGGAAATAACGGCGTCGCTAAGACCCCTGATTTGAGGGAATTCCTCGGCATCTACGTCGGTTAGATGCGATCACCTCAAGGGGAGTACGGCACGGCTAAGCGATTCGCCAAGCAGATCTCCGGACCCAGCAGTTATTGCCGTGATTGAATCGCTCGGGGCTTGATCAAATACCGACCGGGAAACTCATGATGGTCGACCTTGGGATCCACGGAAAGGATCATCATCATGACGAGGTCGTACTCCAGCTTCGCAGGATGGACACGGGCCACGATAAGGACAGGGCCCAAGAGCGATATCGGCACCTTGAAGGCTCAGCTCCCAGGACAGACACCGCCTTTTGCTCTATTCAATTAGCTAATGGTTGTCGTCTTGAACTCGGAGCCGCCCTCGATGCATCAACGAAATTGCTCAGTCGGGCGGGCTGCTTGATGAAGCCCCGCAAACCCCACCATGAAAGCATCACGACTCCAACAACGGCTCTCTCCCCATGCTTGTGCGGGAGTCGTTCGTTTCTACCCTCCAGGGGACTTGGGCTGTGTGTGGAGATGCTCCACTAGATCCCTTCCTCGACCCATTCTGGGGCCCGGCTTGCGTCGTTATCGACGGCAGATCTGCTCCTCCTGGGATACCTATAAAGCCGCGATCGCTCATCTTCTTCTACCATTCTCTGGCCAGTTTCTCGCAGAATCTGGCAGATCTGGCCGATTTTATAAGACTGGAGGACTTGTCTATCGAGTCCCTTTTATCTGTACTCCACCATGGCCGGCACCGACGCCGATGCCGCCCCACTGGCGACCGAGCCGCATAAGCAGCCTTCAAGAGACGACATCGGTCATGATGAGGTCGAAGAGGGTGTCGGAGAGATCAACGAGAGCTCCGTAGCGAAGCCTGGATATCTCGACAAGCAACAGCACGCGATGTATGTCGAGGCGCTTGCCCAGTACCCCACCGACGACGACATCGATCCAGAGAAGGAGAAGAGGGTCCTAAGGAAGATTGATATGAGGATAATTCCTCTACTGGGTATCTGCTACTTCTTTTACTACGTGGATAAGACCACTCTGTAAGTTCTCTGAGTCGTACACGCGGGTTCATGGCTGACCACCCTCGCATAGCTCATACGCCGCCATCTTCGGTCTCAAGGAGGACCTCGACCTTCAAGGCGATGAGTACTCGTGGCTCTCGAGTAGCTTCTACTTTGGCTGGCTGCTCTGGGCCATCCCGTCCAACCTCCTCATGCAGCGCAGTCCGCCAGCCTACTACCTGGCCTTCAACATCTTCATGTGGGGGGCTCTCCTCATGGCTCAGGCCGCGGCGCACAACTTTGGTGGCCTCCTCTCTCTTCGCGTCCTGTCGGGAGCCTTTGAAGCTATTGCCGACCCGGCTTTCATGCTCATCACGTCGATGTACTATACCCGTGCCGAGCAGCCGAGCCGCATCGCAGCTTGGTACGCCTTTAACGGCGTCGGTGTCGCGGGTGGAGGCTTGATCGGTCAGTATTCGCCCCTTATCTTGTTGTTGAACAATGCTAACTCAAGCTTCAATAGGCTATGGTATCGGCAACATCAAGGGAGCTCTTCAATCCTGGCGCTACGAGTTCCTCGTCGTCGGCGCCTTTTGCGCAGCCTGGGCCATCACCCTGCTATTCATGCTGCCGAATTCTCCCAGGACCATCTGGGGCTTTAGTCATGACGAGAAACTCATCATGATTGCCCGTATCCGCCGCAATCAGACGGGTATCGAACAGCGCAAGATCAATTGGGGTCAGGTCAAGGAGGCTTACCTTGACTACAAGACATGGCTCTTCACTCTGCTCGGGTTCGTATCCAACATCCCCAGCGGTGGGATATCCAACTTCTCGACGCTCGTCATCAAGGGTCTTGGCTTTGACACGCTTCATACTGCCCTCCTGGGCATCCCTCAGGGCGTGTTCGTCATCATTTGGATCGGCCTCGGTGCGCTGGCGAACAAGTACATGCCGCCCAACAGCCGCACACTTGTCTGCGCCATCTTTATGCTTCCCACTATCGCCGGCGCGCTCGGCTTCCTTCTTGCTCCTACCGATGCCTACGTCGGTCGTTTGATCTGTTTGTGAGTGCCAATTGAGTTCCTAACCCTACCCTAAACTACGCTAACAATTCGTAAAGTTACCTCACAGGCTCCTACCAGGCTTCATTCGTCATATGCCTCTCTCTCATAACCTCAAACACGGGCGGACAATCTAAAAAAATGATTGTGTCGGGTATGATATGGTTCGGAGCCTGTATTGGCAACATTGCCAGCCCCTTTTTCTACCGCTCCGAGCAGGCCCCCACCTACCATCTTGGCATTGGCTCACTTCTCGTCTCCAACTGCATTGAGCTCGCCCTCTTTTTCGTCTTTCGCTATTCGTTCATGTGGGAGAACAAGCGCAAGGAGAGGCAGCGTGAGGCCCTCCGGTTGGCGGGTGACGGCACGACTGATGAGCTGAACGCGACCGCGTTCAATGACCTAACGGATAAGGAGAACCCCAACTTTGTGTATGTATACTAGGGCCAACGTAAGCTTTGCATGGGATTCAGCTCCAGCTTGAATGGATACGAAAAGTCTAACCTGTTTACCCTATATGTCCATCCTTGGTGAAGAAAAAGCAATATATGACTGGCCAATCAGCCGTCGCCATAAAGACACCTCATGACTGGGTAATTCCATGGGCGAAGGCTGAGCAAAATCTATCCAATCCTTTACCAATGCCATTCTGGTCCTTCCCTAACCCATGTCGAACCCTCTTGAGCATGTCTTTCTGACTCTTCCCCAACTAAGGGCTAACCCTCCCCATGCCCCTTTACCCATCCTCTAAGGTTTATATAGCCCAGATAAAGGAAGACAGCCAGAGTATGACATAACATCTCATCATGACAGGGGCAAACATCCCATCCATCCACTTCCCTCCTCCCAAACATCGTCCCTCCAAGCCAAGGCATGTCGTTGATCTAGAGTTGCACACGATGGGTCCCGACAAAAGAGCCTCAAACTAAAATCCCTGCCTCGTCCCGTCCCATCCCCTTAGTGCCCGTCCAGGATGTGTGTGTGTCCGCACCCCCTCCCCTCCCCCCTTTGGACCCCCACGGGAAAAAGCCAGGGCAGGGGGGCGTACAGAACATCTTGTGCTTCCTTTCAGGGTCGACGCCGTGCCCACCTTTCTCCAGGATCGGATCGTGTGTGTGTGTGTGTGTGTGACTTGTGATGCATCAAAACTCCACCCACCACACCCATCTCCTCACACCCTCCCCTTGCCTGCCGTTTCGTTATCGAAGGGTACTGGACGCGTTGAGTCCTTTGGATGGGCACTGTGTGGATGGTGTCACAGTTGCATAACTTGGTTAAGGGGGGAACTAACAAAGATGGTACCGACGGGTTGGTAAAGATGTCAGCACTGCTTCATGGAGAGAAATTGGAGAGTTCTAGCTTTGGTTCATGATTTACTCCTTTGAAAGATGGTGGGAAGGATATTTTCATCAAGGACTGAGCATTAATTACATTCATTGCATTGTGGGTGGGCGATTCTAGTGTTTTTCATTACCCACAGAAATCGAGGCCTGCTCTAAGAGGCGAGGCGAGGCATTAACAAATTACTCTGCATAATCCCCCCAACCTCATACGCATGTACATATCCATTACTTACCCCAAAACTTATTTATACCTTAGTCTACCTTGGGTACTGACCAAGACACGTAGCAACGCGAACAGTTCCTCCAATCACTCTGAACCGTGACAAACCGCCCATCATAGCTGAGCCATATATTGCCCAATCTATTCCCACTCCGCTTTCATCTTCTCAACCATCACAACATCACCATCACTTCACTCTAAAGAAGACCAGAGACAACCTCATATGCCGGGTCAAATCACTGATATTGATCCAGAACTATTTTAGAAAACATGAAAACAGCCTCCACCGCCACTCTTCCACCAAACCGGTCGCCCCTTTTAGTTTATTGATCTCTTCACGCATATTGCGCCAGTGATCAGATCGCTCGCATGCAGTCCATGCCCTACCCTCCGCCCTAGCGATCGCTCCTCTTCAGCCTGTGTTATCCATCACAAGCATCACCTTTCCGTCACATCACCTACGCTGTCCGTCGCGTATCTCTGCCACCTATCCGAGTCGATTACATCCATCAGATGTACCACATGGTGCTGCGGAAGAAGCTGCGCTGGCGCTGCTCCCCATCAATTGCGTTCTCTCCGACTCTGCCACCAAGAGGCAGCAGTGGGGGCGCATCAGCACCTCGGTCAGGTCCGCCCAGAGAAATACCGCGAGCAACCTTCTCTCGGATCATCTCGTGACCCTTGGGACCAGCTCTGAATCCCTCACTGGTGGCAATGTTTTCATGAGCCCGAGCTCGAGCACTAGCGAGATGGGCATAGTAGACAGCCGGGTGCAGGGAAACCGGAGTAGTCGAGCGAGCGTACGAGTAGCACTGCTGGTAAATCATCTTCTGGAGGTCGTTGATAGGCATTCCCATCTCGTCAAGGATCACATGGTAGTGAACAGGGCGAGCAGTGCCTTGAATAGCAACATGAGAGCTCAGATAGAAGTCAAACATGAACGGGTGGGTGACCTCCTTCTCGACCAAGGTACCGGGAAGAGGGTTGCCGTTCTTGTCACCCTTCTGAGGGAAGAACCGAATGTGATGTCGCTTGGTAGCGACGATGACCGTGAACTTGGGCAGAGGGGCCTTGGCAGGCAACTTCTCTCGGAGGAAGTTCTTGATCTCTGCAATCTCCTGATCAATCACGTAGGCAAACTGACCCTCGCCAACTCCATCTCTGAAGTACATGACATGCGCGGGGAGCTTTCCGGGGTGGTTGACCTTCCACTGCTCCAGAAGGGATCCAAACATCATGCGCATATTACCGGGAGTGAGCATCTCAACACGGTAGCCGTTGGTTTCGACAAGTGCGGCGTAACGGGTGGCATCTTTGTCGACAGACATGGTCATGGCCGCTGTAGAGGGAGATGTACCACCAGGGGCAGTGTGAGAGACATCCACACCAATCATGATGGTAGGGCGGGTCTCAGGGAAGAAGGTGGGAGTCTTCCAAAGGGGAGGAGTGCAAGCAGTCGCGCCGCCCAACTTGGCATTGACCTTCATGCACACGTTGGAGTGATACTGGCCATTGTTCTTTTGGACATGGCTGCCAAGAACGACCTGAGTGAGGATGCCGAATCTGCAGTCGGCAGACTTCTTGAGGCGCTCGTAGGTTCCGCTGTTCTTCTTGGACACAACAACAAACAAAAGCTGAGTGTATCCCTTCTTCTTTGTGATCTCCTCATGAGCCCACTGAACCGCACCTGCAGCATCGAAGCGCAAGTTTCCTGGGCAGTTGAGCATCTGAGCGTCGCTCAGCACCTTGCCTCCGTGGCCGATGAAAGTGCTCTTGAAAGTGTTGGCGAATTGCGAGAGCACGGGGAGGGTAACAGGCTGTTCGAGAGCAATGAAACCCCAGTTCATCAAGGGGGCGGCGTTCTGCTTCCAGAACTTCTTTCCACGAAGGTCCCAACGACCGGCAAACTTGGGCTCAGCCGTGCCAGTGCCAAACTTGACAGTCGGGGGAGCGAGAATTCGAGCATCGGTTCTAGAGAACTGAGGTTCAAAGGAGACGCCATACTCCTTCAAGAAGGGGTCTTCACCGATGCGGAGCGAAGCTGCGCCCTGCTGGATGTCTCTCTTGCGGATGGGAGGACGGGTGACAGCGATCTTGATCATGGCCGCGGTTTGATCAGGGTTCAACTTGAAAGGGTAGCGCTGCATTGGCTCGACAATAGCGAGCTCAACAGGGATCATTCCTCCCTTGCCAGCATCGATGAGTGGGAGGTTGGCCAGTCTGAGGTTGACATTGTACTTCTTGCGGTAGTAGTCATAGACGGACACATCCTTGCCGTCGCACTCGAAAGTGTACGTCTTCGCGGTGCAGCCTTGCTCACCATACTTCTCGTTGAAGCTGAAGTCCATGATGGTGTAGACCTTGTCGACGTTGGGGCGATCTCGGTGCTTGACCTTGAACTTGAGTCGGCGCAGCTTTCGAAGCTGCTTAAAAGCATCCGAAGAAGCCCAACGGCCGGTCTTGTCTCGGGAGGGCTTCAGCACTTCCCAAAGGGAGGCGGGGGTGTGTCCCTGGAACTTGCGGTCCAAGGTAGCCAAGAAGTGGCACATCAGCTTGTCGACTGTCTGGTTTCCAATCCAGAAGCAAGTGTTGGCGACATCAATGTTGTAACCGAGCCCGACACCTCTCTGCGCGAGGTTGTGGCTCATTCGAACCGAGGCGTAGGTTCCCTTGTGGACCTCGACCACGGTACCATCGAGAAGGGGCGTGACTTGCTTGCTGGCGGGGTCGTAAAAGTTGCGCTTGATGGCGAGCAGGTTCTGAGATGGGAACTGTCGAACAAGGTGGTCCAGGAAGTTCAGTGCTTCTTGAACACTGTTGTTGAAGGACATCTTGTGCTCAAGGTAGCCCTGAAGAGCGGCGACCTGGATTTCGGTCGTCTTGCGAATCGTGACATGGAACTTGCCTCCTTCGCGGGCCTTGGCCTTGCCCTCGTCGAGATCGACACTGAACCGAAGCTCTCCACGCTCAACAAGTGCAGGACCCCAAGCGAGCTTCTTTCCATCGAAGAGCCACTTGTCGCCCTTGTAGGGGCGAAGCTGTTTCTTGGTGACCTCGTGGGCCCAAATCTTCTTCATGACAGGGCCGAGCTTGTCAGGGTTGGGCGAGATGAAGATCTGAAGTCATTGTCAGTAATGAGCAAGAAGTAGGCATGGCAAAGATTGGTACTCACATCATACTGATGAATCTTCTTGCTGAAGTCAAACTTGGTCATGCGGTACTGGTTGACCTCGATCTGTTCGGGCTTGCCTTCGGTGTTGAACTTGCCGTTGCGCAGCGTGAACAAGTCCTTCTTGGTCTCGGACACGTATGCATCAGGCGGCAATTCCATGCGGGTGTTTCCCTGATCCTGTTGCTGTTGAGGCTTGGCAGGGTCGAAACCTGGACCCTGAGCCCATCCAGCGGCAGGGCCACGGGAAGAAGAGCGGGCGGATGAGCCACCGGGAGACTGAGAGGGTCGTCTCCCGGAGCCAGAAGAGCCGCCCGACCCGGAGGGGCCAGGGGAACGTCCTCTGTCGGACATGATGGCGACTGAGTCTGAAGAAGTAAGCGACTGAGATCAAGAAGAGGAGTGATGGTAGGTAATGGTAGTGCTGGGTGGAAGAGTGGTTGATCGAAGTCTGGTGGAGGAAGAGAGGAGGAGAAAGAGGGAAGAGGGGGACGGAGGCAAGATTTATAGCCCTCGTCCAGGCGAGGGCTACAAGGCAAAGAACAGGAACTTACCGGCAACGAGAAAGGTGTGATGCCTTGCTTGCGCAGACCGCGGTCGTGGAGCGAGAGTTTGTTCTAGCTGATGTGAGGATCACAGCAACCGGCGAGAGAAACAGAAGATGGATGAGGAGAAGGAATCTGTGCTTGCAGAAGCTTGCACAAGTGTTGGA